ATGAATGTCGTTACCTTGCCATGAATGTCGTTACCTTGCCATGAATGTCGTTACCTTGCCATGAATGTCGTTACCTTGCCATGAATGTCGTTACCTTGCCATGAATGTCGTTACCTTGCCATGAATGTCGTTACCTTGCCATGAATGTCGTTACCTTGCCATGAATGTCGTTACCTTGCCATGAATGTCGTTACCTTGCCATGAATGTCGTTACCTTGCCATGAATGTCGTTACCTTGCCATGAATGTCGTTACCTTGCCATGAATGTCGTTACCTTGCCATGAATGTCGTTACCTTGCCATGAATGTCGTTACCTTGCCATGAATGTCGTTACCTTGCCATGAATGTCGTTACCTTGCCATGAATGTCGTTACCTTGCCATGAATGTCGTTACCTTGCCATGAATGTCGTTACCTTGCCATGAATGTCGTTACCTTGCCATGAATGTCGTTACCTTGCCATGAATGTCGTTACCTTGCCATGAATGTCGTTACCTTGCCATGAATGTCGTTACCTTGCCATGAATGTCGTTACCTTGCCATGAATGTCGTTACCTTGCCATGAATGTCGTTACCTTGCCATGAATGTCGTTACCTTGCCATGAATGTCGTTACCTTGCCATGAATGTCGTTACCTTGCCATGAATGTCGTTACCTTGCCATGAATGTCGTTACCTTGCCATGAATGTCGTTACCTTGCCATGAATGTCGTTACCTTGCCATGAATGTCGTTACCTTGCCATGAATGTCGTTACCTTGCCATGAATGTCGTTACCTTGCCATGAATGTCGTTACCTTGCCATGAATGTCGTTACCTTGCCATGAATGTCGTTACCTTGCCATGAATGTCGTTACCTTGCCATGAATGTCGTTACCTTGCCATGAATGTCGTTACCTTGCCATGAATGTCGTTACCTTGCCATGAATGTCGTTACCTTGCCATGAATGTCGTTACCTTGCCATGAATGTCGTTACCTTGCCATGAATGTCGTTACCTTGCCATGAATGTCGTTACCTTGCCATGAATGTCGTTACCTTGCCATGAATGTCGTTACCTTGCCATGAATGTCGTTACCTTGCCATGAATGTCGTTACCTTGCCATGAATGTCGTTACCTTGCCATGAATGTCGTTACCTTGCCATGAATGTCGTTACCTTGCCATGAATGTCGTTACCTTGCCATGAATGTCGTTACCTTGCCATGAATGTCGTTACCTTGCCATGAATGTCGTTACCTTGCCATGAATGTCGTTACCTTGCCATGAATGTCGTTACCTTGCCATGAATGTCGTTACCTTGCCATGAATGTCGTTACCTTGCCATGAATGTCGTTACCTTGCCATGAATGTCGTTACCTTGCCATGAATGTCGTTACCTTGCCATGAATGTCGTTACCTTGCCATGAATGTCGTTACCTTGCCATGAATGTCGTTACCTTGCCATGAATGTCGTTACCTTGCCATGAATGTCGTTACCTTGCCATGAATGTCGTTACCTTGCCATGAATGTCGTTACCTTGCCATGAATGTCGTTACCTTGCCATGAATGTCGTTACCTTGCCATGAATGTCGTTACCTTGCCATGAATGTCGTTACCTTGCCATGAATGTCGTTACCTTGCCATGAATGTCGTTAGTCATTTGAGCATTAAGACTCTATTTACTGAATTATTACCTTGCCATGAATGTCGTTAGTCATTTGAGCATTAAGACTCTATTTACTGAATTATTACCTTGCCATGAATGTCGTTAGTCATTTGAGCATTAAGACTCTATTTACTGAATTATTACCTTGCCATGAATGTCGTTACCTTGCCATTAAGACTCTATTTACATTATCAATTACCTTGCCATGTATCTTCTGGACTCTATTTACATTATGGTAAGACTTTGTCTATGAGCATTAAGACTATTTACATTATCAATTACCTTGCCATGTATCTTTTGGACTCTATTTACATTATGATAAGACTTTGTCTATGAGCATTAAGACTATTTACATTATCAATTACCTTGCCATGTATCTTCTGGACTCTATTTACATTATGGTAAGACTTTGTCTATGAGCATTAAGACTATTTACATTATCAATTACCTTGCCATGTATCTTCTGGACTCTATTTACATTATGGTAAGACTTTGTCTATGAGCATTAAGACTATTTACATTATCAATTACCTTGCCATGTATCTTCTGGACTCTATTTACATTATGGTAAGACTTTGTCTATGAGCATTAAGACTATTTACATTATCAATTACCTTGCCATGTATCTTCTGGACTCTATTTACATTATGGTAAGACTTTGTCTATGAGCATTAAGACTATTTACATTATCAATTACCTTGCCATGTATCTTCTGGACTCTATTTACATTATGGTAAGACTTTGTCTATGAGCATTAAGACTATTTACATTATCAATTACCTTGCCATGTATCTTCTGGACTCTATTTACATTATGGTAAGACTTTGTCTATGAGCATTAAGACTATTTACATTATCAATTACCTTGCCATGTATCTTCTGGACTCTATTTACATTATGGTAAGACTTTGTCTATGAGCATTAAGACTATTTACATTATCAATTACCTTGCCATGTATCTTCTGGACTCTATTTACATTATGGTAAGACTTTGTCTATGAGCATTAAGACTATTTACATTATCAATTACCTTGCCATGTATCTTCTGGACTCTATTTACATTATGGTAAGACTTTGTCTATGAGCATTAAGACTATTTACATTATCAATTACCTTGCCATGTATCTTCTGGACTCTATTTACATTATGGTAAGACTTTGTCTATGAGCATTAAGACTATTTACATTATCAATTACCTTGCCATGTATCTTCTGGACTCTATTTACATTATGGTAAGACTTTGTCTATGAGCATTAAGACTATTTACATTATCAATTACCTTGCCATGTATCTTCTGGACTCTATTTACATTATGGTAAGACTTTGTCTATGAGCATTAAGACTCTATTTACATTATCAATTATAACTCATTTCTCAATGATTAATTCAACAATTATGTTGATAGAATATATATAAAACCATCTAAATAATAGAAAACACCTATGACAACCTTACAGAAAATAAACCTACTTTGCTGTCCACATCTCTATGGTTATCAATCATTTCATCCTCTGTTATTAATCTTTCTAATTTTCTCACTTTACAGCAACAACTAACATCTATCCGATCCGAGTTTGGATAGAAAACAAATTAATACAGTTATTACATAACATAGGTTTAACTAACATAGGTTTTTGCATAGAGAAAAAAGAAAAAGAAAAAAATAGTGCCTAGTAGCCTCATTGGGAGCTTAGCTGGTTTCTTGTTCTTCATCATCTAGGAATTGAAAGAAAAATGAGCATATTCTCAATGGTAGTGTAAAGAAAGAACAGAGGAAAGCTTAGCACCTAATTGCATACCAAACATAATAATGAAATGAAGATGTGAACTTGTTCATCTCCTCCAACCTTCTCTTCATTTTTTAGTACATTAGTATTGCTTTTGTTTTGCCTTAAGTGGTGATTACATAGTAGATGTGGCTCAATTATTACGCTACTGAAATGAAGATCTGCATCAATCTTGCCAGCAGAAAATTGCTCCAGCAGATTACTATTGAGTACATTAGTATCAATAGAAACAATTAACAAAAATCCACAAAACTACACAATTAAAATTGCTCCAGCAGATCATTCCTATGTATCACAAATAAATTGTCAAACAGTTGGTGAGCAAACTAGAGATGCTTTGGGGTCCATATATACTTAAACAATTCATTTCTACATGTCACAGACCAAATGTCGAACAGTTGGTGAGCAAAAAAAATGTAGATGTGAACAAACAACAACTTGAAGAAATCTGGCCTGTCAAGATTGAAAGAAATAGATGAAGGGAGATAGAGACACAGAGACACAGCTCGAGCCTCATATATTCTATTCCTATTTATAATCATTTCGGTAAACCAGACACTGCTTTACCTGCATTTCAGTAAACCAGATAGAGACCAAACACTGCTACCAATGTGTCACATTTTAGTCTTTCCACACTCTTAGCTACTCATGCATATATTCTTAGAAGTAATTTATTTACAAAGTTCAAATATATATATATATATATATTAGTGAGGCAAACCTGTGTAAACAGCATTATCATATAAATTAGGGCAAACTGTGAAAACAACATTGTCATAATTTATTCTAGTGTTGCTTCCCTGTATTGAGAAAGAACAAATAAATAAATAACTAAATCTAAATAAAACTGTACATTTTTCCTTCTCCTAAGAGAACAATCAGAACAGACTTAACATGCACATTAAAGAGCTGTCAAATTTTATTATCTTCCTGCACAAATTCAAACCATAACTAATGTTAGAAAATTACTAAAGGAGGCCAAAAAGGAGCAAGACTATTCAACCTAGGTTTTTTTTTGTATCTTCGCTATTGATTCCCACCATTTATTCATAGCATTCTAATCAACTCTGAGAAATAAATCTCATTCAGGCTATCCCAGTGAAATTTTAAAATACCAGTGACGTGGAGAATAGAATATAAGATAAGGGTATAGTGACAAACTTAGAAGCATAGCATCCAATCCAGTGCTTTGGATGGTCCTAGAAGCATCAAAAAATATATTTTGACAATAACCATGCCAATATCAGATTGAAAACTTAATGCCCAAGAAATATAAATGCATGGATCAGCACATTTAAGACTAAGATGAATATTGAACAGAGCATCCCCATTTCAAGTATTTAATGCACAATTAAAAACAGTAATCCACTCGCAAAAACTGGAAATCATGAAATACCTTGATCCAGCATACATCGAATATGGCATTTTCATGAGCAACCCATTCGTTAACCCTAGATTTTTCTGCAAATTAGTGGTACAGATTTCAGTATGCCTTGAAAAAATATATAATAATCCCTACAAAAAACTACAAATTAAAACCCTTCAACAAATTTCTATGAATTGATCTTGCCTGAATTTTCTTGGAAAGTAGACGAAGAAGAAAACTTCAATCGAGTGTTGAATAAGCTAATATACCCATCCTCGTCGGTCACAACAATAATATGAGAATTCTTACGTGTCTGTAGATTAATTTAGGTTACGAAACTTGAATCTGATTCTGAACATCAAAAATCATAAATGTAAATTGGAATAAATGAAATTTCACCTTGCAAAAAGAGAGAGCCATTGAAGGTCTGTGATTGCCGTTGTGTTCGACAACCACAGCTCCGGTTTGAGTGAATTTTGACAAATCATTGTCAGGATAGGGTCTCTTGTGAACTGAAAAAAGCAAAGCTAAACCAAATTAAAGTAAAAAACATCTTGGACTTCTTCTAATACACAAAGTTAGAGACGGATATTTATTTAATTTTCCCTTTAAAAAGAGTTTTGTTATGAGTTTTGAAAAAACTTTTGAATTGAGTTTTGAATTGTGTGTTTAGTTATAAATTTTGAAAATAATTTGTAAATTGAATTTTGAATTATGTATTTGGTTATGAATTTTGAAATTTTTTGATTAGAATCACAATTCCAAAGCTACATTAAACTTTATTTTTCAAAACACAACTCCACACTTAAATTATGATTGCAAAATTAAACTAAACGGAGCCAGAACTGCATTTGCACTGCCACGAAAATAAATTAAAAAAATTTATAGTGTGCACTGGCCTTTTTACCACCAAAAAAAAAAAAAGGAAAACAAAATGATGGGGCTTAGATTTCTAGTATAAATTATAAATAAATTAGCCTTCGTTTGGGAAGGGGGTTGGCTCTTTGACTTTTTGACTTTTTTTTACTATTTGAACCTGGGCTCAAAAGCTTGGTTTGGGAAGAGTTTTTTAGCTTTTTTGACTTTTTTTATGAGAGAAAAGGGTAATGATTATGGGTTGGATGTGATGTTTTGTCTGTTGTGGCTCAAATAACCTATTCTGTCTTTTGTAGCTTAAAGAGCCAAAAGAGCCCAAATGAGCTCTTCCTAAACGACACTAATCTACTATCTACTACTACTATTATAAAAATGTAAAAAATTGTCATATTTTCTATTTTTTACATATTTGAAAATTATCTTTCCAAACTTATTAAATATCCGTAAAATTATAAATAATCACAAATATCTTTTGAAATTTAAACACTTTCAAATAACAAATACCTTAAAACAACCAAACACCTTAAAATATCACAACTTATCAAACCCCTAGAGTTTGAGTCAGATTGGCATATGCATGATATGGACACCAAACACCAAATCACCTGCATATAAGTTATAACTAAACCATACACGGCCTTGTCTTTATTAATTGGCAATTTGGAATGTACCAGGTTTTGCCGGTTTCTAGCAAAATAAATATGTTCACATTCAATAGGAATAGCGATCGGAGTAAAATATTTGAAACACTTTTCTTGCCTCTAGGAATTGAGTAATCTACTTTTGGAAGACTATGTACTAACAAAGCAAAGACGTAAAACTTCTGAGATGATAGACAAAAACAAAAGCAATGCCTTATTGCGAGCTTACATTCCATCTATCTGGATTGAAGCGCAATGGATCCATGAAGTATTCTGAATTACTGTGATTGTATCGAAACCACAATAACAATTTCCAGCCTTTTGGGATTATGAAACCTGCAAGTCTTCATTATGATCACTAATTCTCAACAATTTCATGTGTTTACAAAATTTAGCGGCATACCTTGAAATTCAACTTCTTCCGTCACCTAAGCGAAAAAGGAAGGGTGAAATGTTTGTGAGTCTCAAAGTTTCTTCCACCACCTATATGAAAGGTGACAAATGCATAAATGATTCAACTTGGGCAACTACACAAAATTATTTGAAGCTGGTTTTTCTTCTATTATTTTCTTCATCTATTATCAAGAAAATGAAAGAAAAAACACAGCACACAGGATACAATAAAACCCATCATTGTTCTTTACTGAGACAGTGGCAAGTTCAATCAAACTTGGCAAAAAAAGACCTTGTTTGTGTATTTCATTTCAGAAACATCACTGCCTGTGATAAATTCCCCGTTCTTCTTCCCGCTTATAGCCATATTTTCCTCCTGCCAATCACATTGATAGTACAGATTCCAACTAGGAATTTTCCCCAAATCCCAACAAACTAACTCTGAGAGATGTCTCAAGGGATATACAACAAAACAGCAAATATACCATTCAAAGGCAACCGGGGTTTCTTCTTTTTCTTCTTCTTTCCTGACAAAGTAAAAAATTAATTCTTATAAGAAAAACGATGACATACTCACTGCTGGAAAACTGATTTTTAGCGGCGTTTTAACATCATAAAAAAAATAATGATTTATCACATTTTCACCTTACTTTTGCTAAAATAAAACTGATTTGCAGATTTATCAGTTTATCACATTTTCACCTTACATTTTCAGACTTTCAGATTTATCAGTTTATCACATTTGCTAAAATAAAACTGATTTGCAGATTTATCAATAAAATAATGATTTATCAGTTTATCATTTTATCAAAAAAAATAAAACTGATTTGCAGATTTATCACATTTTCACCTTACTTTTGCTAAAAATATAATGAGCATCATGCCCCTCAATGATGAATTTAAACAATAAATTCAATATACTTAAAGGTGATACCAAAAAGCTTCAATGTGCAAACAAAAGAAAACATAACATCATAAAAAAAATTCCCTCCATAGAACCCAACTGAACTTTTTAAATAACAGAAAACATACCAACTGATCCTCTTCCTGGAGTTCGTGCTGCTATATATGCAAACGCCCACATCTGGAAACAAGCCAATCCCATTTTCTGGCATAGCAAGCACAGACCTCTGAAAGAAACCCAAACAAGTAAAAATTAATAACTTAAATAGTGTTTTTATCTAAAAATATATATATATATATATATATATGTGCTAGAAAAGGCAACCAGACCTCAGTGATAAGCTGGTAGCAACCACGACCAGATAGGCCAATTCCAAATCCCATTGTTATGCTGTCCATGAAGCTTATATATGGCTTTTGTACTCAGGTCACATCAAACAAAATGTCAGATTGCAACTAAGAAAATTCCCCATGCAATAACTTGTGTAATGGTGCATATTGAACTCCTAAAGTTAGCCTCAACCTTATAGAAACAAGTCTCTTTTCTTTTCTTTTATTCTTTTTTCCTTTCTTTTTGAACCATTATAGAAACAAGTCTATAAAACAAAACAAACCAAACCAAGCCTTAAGTCCCATCAAGTCTAGAAACAAGTCTATGAGATGAAAAAACCATAATGTACAAATGACTAATTTCAGACCAAACAGTATGCATAGCTATAAATTCTACAATAATGTCAAATAAGAGGACAGATAAAGATAACTAAAAGAAAATGCCTCAAATTACTTACAAAGATCAATGTATACACATATGCACTCGTTGCAACTGGAAGACCCAGAGCAGTAGCACCCTCATGTTGCTAGTTTAAGAGAATGAAATCAGTACTTTGATTTTGTTAGATGCTCTAATCCATCTAGTTGATTGAGAAGCTCCAGCATCGTCCCCTGCACTTCACTATCACCATTACCAGATCCAAATTCCATTCAAGCAGATCCAATGCTGTCGATTTCATCCATTAAAAAAAATAGAAATGAAGTCCAACTGGCACAAAAAATGAGATACGGATATGAATGAGAGTCGAAAAATGCACCATCTGGTGATACTACACAAAATCAACTAGGCTATGCTGTAACTAGATAACAGATCAACCCTGACATGCAAACTAAGCTAAGAAATTTCTGTACATATATTCTACACAATACACATGAGAGAGAGAGAGAGAGCGCTCCTAACAGAAAACTCAAAAAAATGGAGTGTGTCATGATGTTAAGAAGTTCCAGATTTCTTTCGTATTTTGACACTTCACCAGGATGCTCTGGTTTATTATCGCCGTTGTCATCAGTGTCGGCTAGATCAGTGTCATTGAAAGTCGTCCCATTCTCATCTTCGTCTCCATATTCTGATGAACCATTTACCTCCTCACTCAACCCCATATTTTCAATCAACTTTGCTGCATCTGCACTGTCATTAACATCCCCACTGTCTTGCACTGCATTGTAAATGAATAAATAATGAGTCAGCTCAACTGTGGTGCTGTTTGGTGCAACTTATAATGCTGCTTATAACTTTTCTTATTTTGAGTCTGTGAAAGTGTTTGGTGCAGCTTTTACTTATAGCTTATGAGACAGAAATAGCTCAAATAAAGTTGAAAAAAGCTGGGGAAATCATTCTTTTAGCTTCTATTTATCATCAACTTACAGCTTTGGAAAAGCTGCACCAAACAGGCTCTAAGAATAATTACACAACTACTACTAAAAACAGGAAGGAAAATATTCAAATCTTGCCATCAGATGAGAACTCCTGAACTTCAACGCTATTGTATGTCATAACCTGGACCAATGGAGTTGAATTGTCATACTCACTAGCACTTCGCAATGATGATGCTGAAGCAACTTCAGGTTTGGTACTGCTTCAACTATATCACCACCACCATCATCATGTTTCTCCGTTTTCCTCTTTATATTAGCTGAAGAAGCTTGAGATGCCACGGCTATGCCTGCATTGAACCATGTTCAGATGAAAAATTTAGAACCATTACTGCTAGATCAAATCCCAATCAGGTGAAGTTAATGAAGATAATCCAACTTGATCACTTACATATGGAATCAAAAGATATTCGCTATCTCTCCTTTAATTGCATTAGAGTACTTCCATAAATTCCATTTTAATGCCTTTTTTCCCAAGTAGCTAGAAATTATGCTAGAATGATAATATGTAAATGCGTCAATTCAGGCTTTAATTGTGGCTTGCACTGAACAGTTAAGTCTTTGACACCTATCTGCAAGATGCTACAAACTTTACCAATGGACTATGGATTGGTTACATTTTTCTAGATAACCAATTGTCCAAAAATCTTAAACTATTCAGAATGAGTCCATCAATGTAAATAAGCTAACACCCTCCCTCATGTGTTCCCATCTGGCAGGTGGAGAGGGAAGTAGACAAAAACATAAACTAAACTAAACATAAAGCACAAACACGTATAGAGTGGTGTTTAATAATAACAACAACCTTGATTCTCACATTAAAGGGCCAACCTATGATATCAATTGGGTTCATAGTCCCCAATTATATCCCAAGACCTCACATGTAGACTTTCAATGTAGAATTCAACACACTTAGCAAAGTACTCATGTGGACATATCAAGAAAGTGATAGAGACCACATTTATTTATGATCGCGAATCCAGACAGCAGTGCTTACCATTCATGTATGTACATTGAACTCGCGAATCCAGACACCATGTACTACATAGGATTATGGGTCTTTGATTCACCCCCATCCTTTTTCATATTATTATCAAAGAAAATAAGTACAAATGAGTTGTTTTTGGATGTGATCAGTCATCGGGCAAGAGAGAGAATAGAAAGATCCATTAAAACACATTTTTTGTCTTGTTTATGGAAGAATCATTCAATGCACTGAACAAATTTACCAACTCATTTTAATCTCTAATCATGATTTTGTTTTCTCTTAATCATAACCTCTAACAATGATCTCAACAATGAAAAAAAAGTGGGTCAACATAATAAAAATATAAATAACTACATCCTAGAGTCAAGAAAATAAAATTAAAAAAAAAAAAAGAAAGAAAGAAAAAGAAAAAGGAACAGAAAATAAACATCTCTTATTTACTGTCAAAAATTGTCTGTCGACAAGATAATCGCTAACCTTTACCCAGAAGCAGCACTCTTATTCATCCCACCTTGACGGCCACCTCTTCCGCTTCCGTTCTGATCGACTCGTTGATAATTCTCTCCATTGTGTCCGCTTGGGCCCTTGGGTCGACCTGAAAACTCGCCCTGGTTTCTGAACTCGTTCCTGCCAAAGCTCCTACCACCACCACCAAAGTTCCCGCGGCTCCTGAAGTTGTCATTCCGGAATCCACCCCTCCCCGAAGGGTACCTTCCTCTCGCACTACTGCCAACTGCAAAATAAAACAGCATAGTTTGTCATCATTAAGGCCCAACTACAAATGTACATGAAAGTCCCGGGTTTTTTTAGTTCAAAAAACTTGCCTCGAGTTGTAGTCCTCTTTTCCTCAACAACAGCTTGGCGACCCCCAATTGTTAGAGGCGAGGCCTGAAAACATTATGAGTCTTTCAATGTACATACATGAATGGTAAGCACTGCTGATTTTGAGCATTGAATAGCAAAGTAACTCGAGATCGCAACAGTAGGGGCAATCAAACACAAAGTGATAGAGACCACATTTATTTATGATCGCGAATCCAGACAGCAGTGCTTACCATTCATGTATGTACATTGAAAGACTCATAATGTTTTCAGGCCTCGCCTCTAACAATTGGGGGTCGCCAAGCTGTTGTTGAGGATTTTTTCGTAGTTAATGAATTTTTTTTAAAAAAATTCTTTTTTTTTAGTTACTAAGATTGAAAATTTATTTTGTTTCATTTTTATTTTAATGAAAAAAAATATTATTATTTTTTATTTTGTAGAAGTAGGGGTAATATATATTTTAATAAAAAATATTTATATTTTAATAAAAAATATTTTTCACTAATATATATTTTAGTGGTAGTGTAAATGGAGTGACAGGGATGAAAGAGAGGTAATGGTAGTAGTAGTAGCAGTAGTAGTAGTGGTGGTAGTAGAGTGGTGGCGATAGTAGTAGTAATGGTAGTCGTAGAGGTGAAGTAGCAACAGTGGAAGTAATAATGGTGGTGGAATGGTGTTTGCAGTAGTGGTGAAGGTGATAGAAGAGATGGGTGGTGAGAGAGAGTGATAGACAGAGAGACACAGAGATGAGGGAGAGAGTGATAGACAAAGAGACACAAATATAGAGAGAAGAGAGATGAGCGAGAGAGATACAGAGAAGAGAGTCCATTTTAATGCCTTTTTTCCCAAGTAGCTGGAAATTATGCTAGAATGATAATATGTAAATGCGTCAATTCAGGCTTTAAACAGACAGAGAGACACAGAGATGAGGGAGAGAGTGATAGACAGAGAGATGAGGAAGAAAGTGAGCAATGTGAACACAATGTGAGAGAGAGATAAACAGACAGATAGACACATAGAGAGAGAGAGAGAGAAGAGTGAGAGACAGACAAACAGACACAGAGAGAGAAAAAAAGAGAGAAGAGTGATAAGTGAGAGAGAGATAAAGAGAGAAAGAGATATAGAGAGAGAGGCAGACAGAGAGACGGAGAGAAAAAGAGATAGAGAGAGACATATAGAAAAATAGAGAGAAACGAGCGATGAGAGAGATATATAGAAAGAGAACGAAAAGAGATGAACGAGAGAGAGAACAGAAAAATAGAGACATAGAGAGAAGACAAATGAGAAAGATAAAGAGAAGAAAGATGAATGAAAGACACACAGACAGATAGACAAACAGACAGACAAAGAAGAGAGATAGAGAGAGACAGAGAGACAGAGATAGAGTGATGAGCGATAGAGAGAGATAGACAAAGCGTTTGCTAAAAGTGTATTTTCTTATAGTGGATCGATAAATCGAGAAGGAGCTCGATAAATAGAGAAGATGAGAGTAAGAAAGTGAGCAAGACGAACATAGTAAGAGAGAAATAGACAAAGAAAGATAAGCGAGAAATGTTATATCAAAAGAGTAAGACGACATTGTTTTTTTTTAATTTCTTTTGAGACAGAAAAATACTGTTGAATTTATTCAAACCATTTTGTGACTGTATATATATGAAGCTATCTCAAAACCACAATCACTATGCTAGGTTAGAGTTCTCTAAAAACTCTTTTGAGAAAATTATACTTCTTGTTTTTCGTGTTATATTGTTTTTACTGAATTTTTTTAATATTTTAAGTATTTTTTAAAATTTTTAGACACACCTAACATAAATGCACCTAAAAATTTAAAAATTTGTAAA